TTGAGATAGCTTCTATCTCATGTATTGTGTTTGATGGTAGTGAGCATTGGGAGCAGGGCCTTCACGCTCAGCTACATCCCCAATCCTTTTTGAGACAGGTTCTCCCTAAATTGCCCAGGTGGGCTTCCAGCCTGTGATCCTCCTGCTTCAACCACCACACCCAGTTTCTTGTTTAACACTAGGGGAGTATGTGGAGGGGGGTGCAAATGTAATCCAAAATTAGGCAGTTTCTAAGAGTCCACCTTCTCAACTCTGCACTGACTTGAGTTTTGAAAAAAGATAAAAGAAAAAAAAATGATAGAAAAAAAGGGAAGTAGAAAATGAGGTCATTGGAACTGGAATGGGGATAAAACAGCAAAGAAGGAGCAGAGGTGGCCCAACTGTCAGGCTTCTGGATGATAACTAGGCCTCTTAACACTTACCCATGGGATTAATACACACTAAAAAAAATCAAATGGAAGTAATTAGAACTGAACTCTGCCCTACTGAATAGCAGGGTAAATTTCTGGGATGTGAGGCCAGCAGCCATAGCTTCCTGGAAGGGGCTGCAGCCTCCCTTGTTCGCACCTATCCTCCTTTTCCCACTTTCAGAAAATGTGCCAGACACACAGATTTCCCCCTTTTAATCAGTGGGAGAAAATCTCAAGTGGGCTGTGGAGTACTAACTAGAACTGACAGACAGGCAAGGCCTAGAAGCAGTTCTGTAGTAATTACGGTGCTGACCCCACCGGCCCTACTCCAATTCACCCCAAGTTTCATTCCGGCTTTTTTTTTTTTTTTAAATGTTATTTTACTTTGTGTCTTTTGGAGACAGGGTCTCGCTATGCAGTTCAGGCTGGGCTTGAACTTATTTTGTAGCCCAGGCTGGTTTCGAACTTGCAATGTTCCTCCTGCCTCAGCCTCCAGAGTGCTGGGATGACGCGCGTGCACCACCACGCAGCCTATGGCTTCTTTTATCTTGAAGCCACGAGTTCAGAAGATCAGTCTGTGGTCCAAACAGGTGTGGAAGGCCAAGGGATCCTTCTCCACGCAGAAAAGGAACTAGATCCAGGCTTCTAGCTTCCTAGATGTCGTCCTCAGGATCGCTGCGGACCCTAGTGTCCAAGCTCTTCGATTCTGTAGGCGCTCCCTCGAGCCTTGGGCTCGACTCCCATTCTCTGCCTCTCCATCTCCCTGGAATTTTCCACTGCAGCTGCCTCTGCTCCTAGACGCCCCTCCCTGGGCAAAATTCCCGACTCCCTCCGCCTCCCCTTCCCTAATCACACCTCATTCCCACCCCCAGCCCTGAGGCCCAGCCCACAGTCCGGCCCACACCCCAAACTAACCCCGGTGGTCCTAGAGAAATGGGAGGCCAGGTCCCTTAGGAAGGAGGGTCTCAGTACCCCCTTGGGCAGGCGAGAAAGGACAGTGGAAGGGGTGATCCCTTATGGGGCAGGAGTGGGGGGAGTGGCCCTCCTCACATCCCCATATAAGGCAGGGCAAGCAGTTACGCTCTGGATTGGCTGATTCAAATGAGCATTCCACATGGCAACAGAGTTTCTATTGGCTCTCAGGAAAAACAGGAGGAAGGTGGATGGAGGTTGTTGGTGGCAGTGATGGGATGGGGAGGGAAGTGGAGGTGACCCTGAGTGGGGGGCGGTTACCAGGGCAACAGGGTAAGAGCCCAGCAGGGTGTCCGAGACAGCAGGCGGGGCTGGGAGGTAGAAGAGAGGGAAGAGGAAAAGAGAGCCAGAGAAGAGACCGACCTGGAGGGAGACTGAAGGCTGCAAAGGGGTAGCAAAGGTGGGAGGAGAGGGAGATAAATGGAGGAGGACCGGATCTCAGAGGTGGAAATGTGAGATAGTCGAAGACATCCGTCAGGGAGTCAGAGTGAAAGGGAAATGGAAAAACCTCTGGGAGAAGATGGATGAAATTCCGCAAGGAAAAACTTGGGTGGGGCTTCAAGGTTCCTAAGGAAACCAAGACTGAGAAAATTGATGGAAGACTCAGCGGGGAAAATTGGAAGTGTGTCTATACCAAGAGACCAAAAGATAGTGTTCTTAAGCACTTAAATAACAAATGACACAGAAGATGGGTCAACAGCGTAGGTCTTTATTAATGAAAATGATTGTAAAAGTCGAAAAGTAGTAATACAAACGTGGGAGTAGACACAGATTGTTCAAATCCCAGCCCTGTGCTTTCCTGAAACCCCAAGACGTTGAGATGATACTGAAGCTAGGAGCTAGAGTCTAGAGGCCTGGTCCTGTATGACATTTGCAAAGGAGACCAGGGCATGAAGAAAGGCTAGGAACGAGGCGGTAGAAGAAGAAAAGCAAAGCATGAGAAATATGGAAAATGAGGGCAGGAAGAGGACTTGAAATCAGGGATCTAGGGCCAGCTGTCTGGGGCGGACAAGAAGAGCCATCCATGTGGGCGCGACAGGAAAGGAGACAGCAGCCTGCGGAAACACTGACAGGGATGGGAGGTGTAGAAGGCTGGGAGAGGGCCTGGATACCCACGAAGGCAGAGACATTCAGAGAAAGAAGGACCAGGCAAAGAAAAGTGAGGCGAGGGAGAAGGGTGAAAGATAGGGACAGGGGAGGAACACTGGAGGCCTCTGTTTCCCTCAGTCGCAGGGAAGATCCTGAAAATCGCAGGGAGGAACCGGCAAGGGTCACAGCTTCCTCAGGAGAGAGGGCTAGGTCTTCCCTTTCCATGCTCCCATTCCTTTCTCCCCGAGGCTATCCCAAGAATGTGGCAGGAGAGCGAGAGGGGAAGTCCAGCACGATGCAAGTGAAATAGCTCCGCAAGCCTCTTCCTCTTCTTCCAGCTTTTGGTTCTCCTATACCTGCCCTGCCTCTCCACCTGCTCCCCCACCCCTCGCCACTCCTTGGCAAATCCTCAGGGCCCTTGGGGGTCAGCGAGATTCTGGCCACCTCTCGGGTCCACCCAGCAGCCAGACTCCACCTCGCCGGCAGTAGGTGGGGATTTGGAGGTGTCTCGGCGCAGGAGCCCCACCCCTTCCCGCCCCCACCCCGCTCCCCTCCCGCGCGCCGCCGTCCTCCTATCCCCACCTCTCCAGCTCCCGCTCGCCCCCTCCCCGCGCCGGCCTCCTGCTCCCGCCGCCCCACCCCTGGGAAGCCCCTCCCGTCGGGCAGCGCAGCTTATAAGCGGGTTCCCGGCCCGGGGGCGGCAGCGGCTGGTCGGCGGCAGCTCTGCGGTGCGGGGGCGGCGAGCCCAGGACCGATCAGCCTCCGCGGCCCGAGCGCCGGCCACCGCCCGCCTC